TTGTTTTCCTATTTTGGTTGAAGCACAAACAAATTAATTATTATTGTACCCTAAATCTATTATTTTCCCACAGATATGTAAGAAATAAATTTTAACGTATCCATTAGGAGACTGTAAAGCAAAAAGAAAAGAAAAAATCTCAAGTATACCGTGGTGTTGATTTTTAAAAAATCCACGTCAAAATAACCAAGGGCCTGATAGTTTAATCGTCACTTTTTTTAATGGCAACATTAGCAATACGTTTCGTGGATGTAATCATAAGCTGGTCACACTCGACTGCTTGATTTCAAAGATTCCGATCTGCCAATGAGTCCCGTATACACAAAATTTAAATATTACCTCACAGAACCCATCTTCATCACCCGCATTTTTCTAGTATCAGAATCAAATTTTACGTAGGTCTAGAGACACTTTTCAACTCGGAAGCTTACAGAAGAGCCCACTTCAAGATAAATCAAAAACCCACCAGCCAGTCTTGACTTTGAATTTTCCAAAATCCAACTCCCCATCGTTTAGCACCATCACCTGCAACCGATACCATCAATTCCACTCGAGACGGGCATCTCGGTACCTGCCATAACCGTAGGTACCCATCGCAAAATTCCAACGCGTTACGGCAATATAGACGCTTCATCACCACCTTGCCTCGACAACAAGGCGTATGTATATAACCCATAACGCGCCTAAAATTGCGAATGTCGTCCAATGCAAGCTAGGGGGTGTATGCAGACGGAGCGTCGAGCCGGTAGCTCGCAAACACCCGCACAAAAGAGAGGAGTCACCGTCGGGGGGGTTTCCCCGGGAAACCGGCAAATTTGCATACAGAGCATCTGTCACCAGCCCCTTAGCCTCCCCCCCGGTCCGTAGGTACGCCGCGACGGCGGGCGTATGTTGGGCGTCGCGCGAGAAGATATCTCTGGATCTACCCCATAGCCGTTGCACCACCCACCTTTCCTCCCTTGGATAATAGCGCGGGTCCTTAGGTATACAGGTTGAAGCGGGGCGATCGAGGGCTTCTCGAGCGAGATTTTATCCTCGTTCCGTCTCTCTTTATTTTTTCCCAGAATAAGGTGAGCGGGTTAGCCCCTCACCCTCGGGGGGAGAGAGTTGCCCTCCCCCGTTCGATTTTACGCGCGGTGATTTCCTCCGCGACTCTCCTTTTCGTTGTTGTCTTGGAGGGACTCTTTATTTTCTCTTGGCGCGCTTGTTTCGAGTGGGTCGTTCGGGACTGCGGTGCTCGGGTTTCCCGGGGAAAGTGCTTCTCTTCGCTCCCGACGCCTATAGGATACACTTTCTTTTCTTGGGACGATAAGGGTACCACTTTCGCGCTCGATCGGCTTGGAAAAGTGAGCCTCGATTTCCAAAGAGGCGCGCGGGATGAATTCATTATTCGCCCTGTGCAAGGAGTACGAGTTATGGCTACGCCCCGTGAGTACTTTGCTGGTGGCTTCAACGGGGAGACTTTTTTTCGATCTTTTTTTTTTTTTTTTTTACAAAAAGGGAAAAATATTTCTATTGTCGAGTCGAATCTTCCTCCAGGGAGCACGTGTCCGAATCTCAAGTCTCGTAGTTGTTGTCTCAGGTGAAATCAAACCTGCGCAATTAAGATGTTATCGTTGGATCCCGTGATTTTTGTGTTTACCAATTGGTAACTGGAGATATCGATTGAGGATGAAGCTTTAAATCAGTGTAAAAAAAAAACTTTTTCATACGAGAACGTGGTGTTTTAATCGAACGTTATTAGGGTTTCTTTTATCTACTGAGACACCCATGTACAACAAATGGTGTTTTTATTTCGCAAAGGTTATGTAATTAATCCCGACATGAAACTTTATTTTTACATTTTGAAGAAAAATTACAATTGTGAGAGACTTTATTGAAACCCTAGTATGGTTAGCTACTGGACATTACGAATCGATGCTAAATGTGAAGTTTATTAGTAAATGTTTATCAAACTTTTTTAATCTTACATGTTCTATGATTTGTATATAAAGAACTTTTAACAATGTTGCATTAAAAAAAAAAATACCATAAAACTGAGCTAAAGATCGTTTATCGTTAACTTGTTGATAAGAAGAAATCGTACAAATGTGTGAAAATTCTAAACTCACCACAATAATCCATCAATTGACAAGATAATACTTTTAAAATACTTGCACACTCACCTGAAACAGAAAGATAACAAAAATTATTTCTTTAGTAACCCAGCTATTTCTATACTATTTAATTAAATTATACTCTAAAATATTAAATACAATTTATTAATGAGCAATAATATTTAGATGGCAAAGCTAATAAATGTTTAACACAAACATGCAAAACGTCAAAGCAACCAAGGAACTACACCGAGTCTCTGATTACTGGGCCCAAAAACATCAAAAATCAGCACACGAGCAAAAATTTACGCTCAAACTATAGGCAAGGTGTAAACAACGTTAAGCCTTAAAAAAAAAAAAAAAAAAAAAAGTTATACCCCCACAGCTGGTAAACGCTCTCATTTACAAGGTAATCAACAAAGCCATTCCAAAGGTGCAGTCCAATGCAAACCTCATCGAAAATGAGCACACCGGGTGGCAAGCCGAACCCTTGACGAGAGTATACTCTTTTCGTCGTAGCTGCCGCGAAAGTTGGCCATAATAAATATTCAANAACCAAGGAACTACACCGAGTCTCTGATTACTGGGCCCAAAAACATCAAAAATCAGCACACGAGCAAAAATTTACGCTCAAACTATAGGCAAGGTGTAAACAACAAAAATTAAAAAAAAAAAAAAAAAAAAAAAAAGTTATACCCCCATAGCTGGGGAACGCTCTCGTTTACAAGGTAATAAAAAAAGCCATGCAAATGGTGCAGAGCAATGCAAATCTCGTGGAAAATGAGCACACCGGGTGGCAAGCCGAACCCTTGACGAGAGTATACTCTTTTCGTCGTAGCTGCCGCGAAAGTTGGCCATAATAAATATTCAAAGGTAAGGACACCGAGGGAACGGAAAGAAAGGGATATTCCCTCGTGGGATTTTTTTTTTCTACCCTCCCCTTTTTTGGCGTCCAAGTAAAAAAGCCACACTGCCATGGGACGGAGAAATATACATTCGGCGAATCCCCGCGAGTCGGGAAATGAAAAACGCGGGAGTAGGAGAGGCTGTATATAGACGAGGCACAACGAAAGGCCCCGGGTGGAAAGCGATAAAGCCGAGGGAACAGAAAGACACCGTAAGCGAGATAAGAAGGGGGCGGAAAAATTCGAGGGGTCGGGGGGTGCCATTAATTTCCACCCCCTACCCCCACGCTACACTCCGCGCCTTGTTCTTCTTTTTTGGGGCTCGACAGGGGGACTTACGGTCTTAATCCCCCCCCCCCGGCTGAGGAACGGCCACCGGAGAAGTTTCTCCGTCTCCTCCGTAATATACACGTGCCCGTCCCCGAAATCATAAGCACCTGCAGCGCTGTGATTTCTGCGGAGCGAACCGGATGCTCTCCTCCCCCCCCAAAAAAAGAGGATTTGACGAGCGATAATGACAGCACTAGTGGCGTCGAGGGTGGGCTGGGTATATATATATACAAGCGTCCCTTTTCGGATTACGTCTTGCGACGGCTTTGTCGCGACGGAAACGTGTTGTTTCGCGGGTATGGCTCGCAAGCGATTTGTGGGATCGGATTTGATTCGGCCTTATCTGCCTGGCGCTGTTTGTTCGACCCGTGTCTGCACGGACGCACGAGGAAAGTATGTGTGTATATATATATATATTCATATCCAAACCGATAATCGATCATGCCAATTGGATTTAAGTGCTTCGGCGTTATCAATTGCGCGTAAGGAATAAATCACGTTTATCAGTGAATCTGGACGAGAGCTTTTGATCGATAAATTGCGACGGCGAGCGCCAACTTGACCCAACGCGATAGGCCGGGGGTATATATGGTATCAGCAGAAAATGGTACGATTGGTTGGCCAAATTGTTCGCCAACGTCTCAATCGAAGGAAAAGCCCGCCATTTGACTCTCCGCGTGTACCAATGTACCCTTACGGACAAAAAAAAAAAAGACTAGTTTCTTCGGAAAGCAGCTCGATGAAACTATAAGAGGAGGGAAGAATGCGCGTGTATACGTATACATCCAACATCGAGTTTCCTTGGGAGGGCTTTCCGAGCACGAAGCGGCTCTTATTGAAATTCAGAGCGAGTCTCGCTTTCCATTTCCATCCGCGCGAGGGAGGAAGGGGGCGGCTTTTTTTTTCCTTCTTCGATCCGCAACAGAGAGAGAGCACTGCAATTCGGTCCTTTCCCTTTCCGCGGGGGCCGATTCTCGCGCGCGGCCGACCTTTTGTTTCCCTTTGTGTCTCGCGCGGGACACCCCCCACCCCCACCCACGTATACACGGGCTGCAATGAAAAATCACTGAGTTTCCTTTGGAATGAAAAATGAGAAGCCCAGCCGTATTAAGAAGTCCATCGACGTCCCTCTCTCTCCTCCTCTTTGTGCTAAGCCTGCGAGTCGGGGCAGACGCGGGGCTGGGATTGCCGCTTCTTTGTATCGCATTGTGGGAGATTGCGCGTGGGGGGGAGAGAAATCGAGACACTTTTGAGCATCACCGGGACTTTGATCGAGTGGCCATTGGGATCCGCCGATGAAATCAATTTTTTAAGGAAATCCGTTGATTGATCGCTCGCGGTTTATTTGGCACTTATTTTTTTCACGAAATATTTTTTGGAAAGATAAGGAGGAGGACCTATTATTGTTTCCAATCTTTTTTTTCTACACGTCAAAGTGTAAATGATCTATTTATTAGCATTTTGATGGTTTCATAGAATCGCCGTGTTTTTTCTACGCAGGGTATATATGATCGATCAAAGATGCGGTCTGATCGATAAGAAAGAGGAAATGCAGGCCGTCGTTTGCTATCTTTGGTACGAATTTTTCGATGCTATCGGCTGGACGTGATAAAACGTTGCGTATAAGATACCCGACATTGTTTAAAATCGTACTCTTCAAGAGGTACGTGATGCAACGTCTGGTCGCAGCGTGAAATATTCGCGTGCGGGTTTGTGGATGTCGAGCAAGTAGAGAGTTGAGAAAAACATAAAGATCAACATGAACTGCCAAGTACGGTGTTTTTTGGCGATAACTATTTTCATTGCTACCGGTGTCTCGTGTTTGCAATCCGAGATTCCTTTTGCAAAAACACCACTGGGACAAATCAACGGATTCTACAAGTCGTCCGCTCGAGGACGTCGATACGCTGCTTTCGAAAGTGTCCCTTATGCTCTGCCACCGACGGGGGAGCTTCGATTTCAGGTGAGCCCAGAAAATAGTTATCTTATCGCTGTATTAGGCTTGGTATTAGGGACGTGAAAGTAATCAATTTTTTTGTTACTTTTAGCCCCCGGTGTCGATATCCAAATATCCTGAGGTCATCAACGCAACCGAACCACCAGTTTACTGTGTACAATACCACACGATAGACAATTTGGTAAAAGGCAAAGAGGACTGCTTGTATCTGAACATCTACGTGCCCAATGTGAACAGCCCAGGACTGCTCCCTGTGATTTTTTGGATACACGGGGGTGGTTTCCAATACGGCACTTCAACAAAATACGGACCCAAGTATCTGATGGACAAAGACTTGATTCTGGTCACCATAAACTATCGCCTCGGGCCGTTTGGGTTTCTCAGTACCGGGGACAACGTGGTGTCGGGCAACATGGGCCTCAAGGATCAGTCCATGGCTCTGAGATGGGTCTCGGACAATATCCGCTACTTCAACGGAGATCGGAATAGAATTACCCTCATGGGAGTCAGTGCTGGAGGTGCCAGTGTCCACTACCATTATCTGTCACCGATGAGTGCAGGTCTGTTTCGCCATGGAATATCCTTCAGCGGCACGGCTTTGGGGAGATGGGCTTACAATCATGACACGTCCGAAACAGCCAGGATTTTGGCAAGGGCACTAAATTGCCCGACCAACGACTCGCGAGATATGGTGCAGTGTTTGAAAACAATCAGCGCCACCGACATGGCTAAGACTGTGCAACGTTTATTGGTACGTCCATAGATATATACTATGTGGATGCAATTCTAGGGAATTTGATTTCTAATTCGTCCCATTTTTGTCTAGTCCAAACTGTACTTTTCGTACGCCATGTTTCCACCGGTGGCTGAAAAGATCGACAGAGACTATTTCATTAACGATTCACCAACGAATATCATCCAAAAGGGCAAATCGAACGACGTGCCATGGATCACGGGAGTCGTTAGCGAGGAAGGACTTTACATAACAGGAGGTTGGTATTTTCACGTGGAATGAAGTATTTTTTACCACTTGCCATTAAAATTCGTTTCTTCGATTTGCAGGTTTTGCTTTGAAAGACAATCTGATGGCGTATACCGACGCCCATTGGGAGAGCGTAGCTCCAATTATGCTGCATTATCCAAACACGATACCCAAAAGTAAGCACAGCCAACTCGTGAATTTAGCCAAGCGACATTATTTAGGCGACAGACCAATAACCACGGACAGAAAGGCCATCAAAGACTTGACTCACTTGGCTGGGGATGATCAGATAACGACCGGTTCGATCAGAGCAGCAAAATTCCAAGCAAAAGCGCACGAGAGCCCAGTTTGGTTTTACCACTACACTTACAGAGCCGCGCACAGTACGAGTGATTACTTCTCCAATTCGACTGAGAATTTGGGTGAGTTTGTACACACGTTGGAAACCTCATGTTTTTACAATCATTTCGTTGTATCGTCAATTTTAGGTGTAAGCCACGACGATGATGTTTATTTGGTGCTCGAAAATGACTTTATGGACCCTACCACTACGCCAAGCGACAGACTAATGTTAAAATACATGCTCAATCACTGGGAATCGGTCGCTCAAACTGGGTAAGCGAATTCAACTCTGCGAGTGATTTTTGGTCCGTTGCATTTGGAATTTTGAATTTTTCCAGGGAACCAAATTTAGAAACTCAGTGGCCGAGATTGGATCCTTCCAAAAACTTTAGTTACATGCACATATCTGGGCCAGGAAACTTCACGATGGAAACAAACGATAACTTGGGAGAAATAAAGTTTTGGGAAAGCATAGGTCTGTAGTACAAGCAAACTCGTACAAAAAAAGAAACAATTCCATCCTTTTTATATTTAAACTTAGGAATACAAAATGTCCCTATTAATATTTAAACGTAAGAAACATAGTTTATGATGCCGGTCGTCATAACAAATAGTAGTAATAAAAAAGCCTGACGTGTGAAATTTAAATCTCGAAGACGAATGGGGCAATTTAAAATAAAACTTGAGCCATTAAAGTCATTTGAAAAGTTTTTCTTTCGGCTCTGCGCCCTTTACCGAGGCCTCGTCGAAGGCAGAAGAAATAACGGGGGGACCGCCTCTAAATTAGGAGTTATCCAAGACTACCAGGAAAAGGACGGCCCTTTCGTTGATTTGCGCTCGTTTCGCTGAGTAAATATCGTAAATCATTCGGAAGTGCGGGCACGGAACAACTTGCGAGATTTACGCTGGAGTGGCACTTAACGTTTTATGTCATCAAACCATGTAAAATATATAAATAAACTCAAAAAAAATTTTGTACAAGAACCGTGTCACTCTTAAAATTTTTCAATAATATTTAATAATTTAAATATAGCACTGAAATTAATCATAAATAAATCATACTACAATCAACTCTCAATTTGGTTTTTCCTCTAAATTGCTCATTGAAATTTTTCAGACTCGATTAATTCACCTTCTGCTTAACTGTTATGAATCTGATTCATTTTCAAAGTCAAGATATTTGGATGCACTAGTTTTGCGTTTAATTAGTTCGATAAATGGATGAATTTCCGATGAGTCAAACCAATTACTATACATATAAATAAATCAATGACAGTAAGCGTGCTAGTAATGCAAAAATCGTCACATCAGTTTTACAAAGAACTCTTTTGAACTAAAAATGAAAGTGCAAAAAATAATACAAGTTGATTAGTTACTGAATAAAAAAAATCACTTGCAAGTTATTTAATTTATAAGCAATTGTATTACGTTGGTATTAAGGATCAAAAAAAAAAAATCATATGAATTTGCTACGTATAAAGCCATCTTATCTTGAAAATATAGCATATCTGACACGTTGTCTGAGAGCACGGACAAAGAACGCGCAAAAAAATCCCCGCATGACTCTCCGAGCGCACATGCGATGCTGCACTTGAAATCATACCATCAGATAAGAGAACTTGATGCAACTGAAAAACGACACTGTCAAAAAATGCCAGCTTACAGGGATTAGTTGATATCTTGTAGCTGCGTGTGCGTTGCCTCTCGAGGCGAGTCCGTAGATTAAAATATTGTTGCTTAAAAGAGACACAAGTGAAATTATTGAAATGAAAGAATGCATAATCTACCTACGTATAGTTTCTATGGTCTTTTTTGTATAAATTATAAAAATTTGCGTTCAGTAATTCGTCAATGTTACTTTTTTATTTAAAAAATAATCTTTTGTATTTTGCATGACACCTTCTTGATACAATAAAATTAAATAGTAATGTTCCCTCAATCATACACAGGAAACTTCATCGGAAACTTAATTGTTTCTTTCAGTCACATCTTTTGTTTTTTCGTCATCTACAAACTGACTCGTTTCGCAACGCAAAAGCACACAAATTATGCAAATTTATCCTTGAGTGTCCAAATTCAACGTATATTTGTGATGATTCATAAAAACACGTCACCTTCAGCGTGTAGGATAACCCTTACGTACAGATATACGTGCTCTTGGCTGTAATCGAAAAGCACCCATGTAGCATTGACTTGAGAAAATATTCGCCAAGGGACAGCCGTAACACGTGTTGCACGTAGACAATACTCCACGATGTAGTACTACACCACATCACGGGACTACACACGGGACGCATGTAAGTATTACAAATGAAAAAAGAGTCCCTTTGTCATCTCCGTCTGTAAGCAAAGGGTTTTCGATGCCAAAGTTATCACTTGGACCTCCGTCTTATGAAACGTACAAGGTCTTTCGGCTTTTTTTAAAAGGGTGCCGGGCTGAATATTGTTTTATGGTTGGTGTTCTTTCCAGGTGATGTGTACCTATATTTTTTTGGCTTGTAGTATGGATTCTCGATCACTGGTGGTCCGTTGAATGCGACAACGAAATTTTACACTCGTTGTTAAGTCGAGGGGAAGGGTGAGGAGTTCAAGAGAGTGGAAGATCCTTCTGCGATTACGAATTACATTGACTCATTTATGTAAAACAAAGGTTGTTGGCTATTCCAATGGTTTTATTTGACTGTGGAATAATTTTGACAAATCGATGGCTAGGTTCCTCCAATGAAAAAGACGGCCATGAAAATTGTATTACTGCTTACTACAAATCGTATCAAAATGATCATATCACTTGAATCTCATCATAAAACAACCGCATAGCTTATGTACATGCGCACATTGATAATTTTGGAAAACGAAACTCAAGGATTATAGCATAATAGAAGTAAAATTATGTGAAACCACCGATGGACATTTTCTATAGCGATCTACGGGTAGGTTGCACATAATGGAATGCGAATAATTAGTGATGGTGGTGTACTGAGGCAAATAAGACATAATCATAGAGGGGCCCAAGAGCTTTGGTAGTAGTCTATTATTAGAGCAACAAGGGAAACGGGTACGTCGATCGTGTCACCGTCTCAATATATTATGGGCAGATTTCCTTACCAGTGCATTAGCATAACCAGTTATTCGGCTTGACTTTCTAAATTCTTTCTTGTTTATTGTGTTGACTGGATAAAAAACTATTGTAAAATTTTAGGATAACTAATGAAATTACTTTTCAACAGCTCGGAATCGAAATCGAAATACATGAGCCTTCAATATTCACTTACTTAACACGTCTAGCGTAGAATAACATGTCAAAAATCTTACATCTTCGATCGTAATAAAAGACTTATCTTGTATTTGCAAATTCGATTTATTCACATACGTGCACCTATTAAGTATTTAATATTTATTTTCTACGTGCTTGTAACTGTGGCTCCATTTGTCACGGTAACATGTATTCCCATGAGAATATAAATAACTTTTGCCGATTTTTGTCGACGGCCGCTTCACTTATTTTGCTCCATAAGACTTAACACAGAAAATTATTAATAATAACGGTAGTACCGTAGAATCACATAGTGAATGGTATATCATCGATTGTACTTTAAGTATGCTGTAAGGAGCTGACGTAAGAAAGTAATTAACTTTTCGTTATGGTACGATGAGAGAATTTATTGTTTTATTCACAATGATGTGTTACACAAGTATCTTTAAAATCTTTTGTGTTGGATATCTAAAAATTTATTTGTGTAAAACATTAAAAAAATTTGTTAACAAAATATTGGAAATCGTGCGGGGAGTAAAAGTAATACAAGGGAACTAAAAATCTGGTCATTTTGTACTTTATTTAGTGCTACACGATACAAACATTTCAATTGATTAGAAAGTATTGACTGCTATAATGACAATATTGTTTTAGAATCTCGTAACTTAGTTTATATTCTCAACAGACATAAAAACACTAAACTAATCCAATAGTGATTTACGACACTAAATATAGGCTGCCAAAAGCAAGACAAGTTCAATGATAATCCTAATTGGTATAGGTTAAAGTACGTTACAGTGGATTGTTTTATAATAAAAAAAGAGACGTGCTACGGAGTTAGAAAAACATGTTAATGATTAAATAGTCAATACAATTTAGAAAATAAAAAACTACTTATCAAAACACAACTAATTGATGTAATATTATTACACTTACAAGTACGAACGAGTTAAATATGGCTTACTCCATTTTCAAGGATTTTCTTGTATCTGAGCAGTCCATTTTTTCATCTGAATACTGTTATGCAGTTTAACTATTTTGCGGACTATAATCACGTATGATATTATCACACTTAGTATCTAAAAAGACGTGTAATACAATACAATATTGATTAAATTATTTTATATTCTGTGATGAGACTTTAAAAACTAAATACTGAAACTTACTGACACAAATAGTGACTCGCTTATAGAAAACAATTCCAAAGCTTCAAATCTAATACCTGCACTTTTGCAATGATACGAAAATAGTAAGAGCTAAAAATATATAATAAAATGTTTTAATTATTTTTCAATTGAACTGATTATTTTAGTATTGATACCTGATACGCTATATTTTTATTCTTTGCACTATCGTTGGATAGTAAACAATTAATTAATNTTTTAGATATCTAGCAAATACATATCTGATACGCTATTAATAAAAAAAAAATTACAAATTTTGTTACACTTAAAAAACATTAAAAATTGTTAATGTCAATTTTTATGGAAAAATTGAAAAAGTTTTATTTGAGGTTCATGGCACAGTCAGAACATTTTTGGATTAAAAAATAAGCTTGAAACATTAGTAATGTATTTTAGACAATAGTTATGCGTTCTAGTGAAAAATGTAGCAGTTGTGACTTCATGAAGAAATTTAATTTTTTTTTGCACAAGTTATATATTTGTATTGTATACATTTTTATATGACCGTTCCATTGTTGAGGTAGTAAAGTTAGTTAATACAAAAACCATCATAACAGCGTCCAAAAGATAAATTATACATTGTGTTAATACAACATGTGTATTTATTTTTAAACTTGTATTATCAGTTAACGCAGTTAACATATTTAATACATTGTAGCAATTACGCACAATTACAACAAAATATACCAAAATGCACATAAAAATTGGTAAAGAGTATAACTCGGACATATCTGTTGATGATTCGATCAATGACATGTAAATTTTTTGCAATTTTGCTATAGTAAGTAACTTTTTCCGTTCATTGGCACAATTAAGTAATTCAATACTTGATAATTTTGAGCTAGTAGATGTTCCAAAGTTAATTTTTATGTTATGACAAATCAATTTATGTAAAATTCGAATTAAAATAGTAAATGATACGTATTGCAGCGTGGTCATATCAATTATGATATTATGAATAAAATATAGAACCAACTTAGAGGAATAGTAGGAATCCCATCCATAAACTATCCAACTCACTCGTACAATACACTTTACAGTCATTAACCAAAACAACTGTTTGTATTGTAATGACCATTTACCAAAACTTTTATTTCTTTTCAATTTTCCCACTAACTCTTTCATTACATTAAATTTCGTAAATATAATTATCGCAGTTCTTTGTTTGACAATTGATAAAATTATAATTATATTGCAAGCCACGTAAATAATTACATCCCTATAAAGAGCGATAGAAAACATTGAGTATAAAAATTCATTTTTACCATCATGTAAAAAAGTATAAGTAAATATTTCTTGTAGCTCAAAGTATTGAAATATAATTAACGTTATCAGTAAACAAATACTATATGCTATTCCAGTGTAAGAATAATTAAACGACCATCGCCTAAAACTGTTATTTTCTATCAGGATCTCGTTAAAATTCATAGTTGTAGTCCCGAAAATTCGATTACAAAAGTAAAATAATTTTATGAGTGTAAGCTTAAACTTTTTTGCTTTCAATATTGATACCAATTGACGAAACATCATTGCAAGTTTTCAACTAAAAACAATAAGAGTCAACGTTAAAAAAAAATTATATTTCTATGACACACTTGCTTTACCAGTTAATTTAATGCAAAAAAGTCTTTTTACACATCTAATATTATGATTCTACATATAATTAGTACGTTTACTAGATCTAAACTTGATAAACTACGTACGATGTCAATGTAAAGTCCTAAGCTGACTGACTCTGGTAAAGTATCCCGAAAGGAACAGAAGCCTAAAAAAAACAAAAAAATCGATGTCTTCTTAATTCCTTTTTCATTTATGAATGTACATCGATTCATAGCTTCGTTGCCTACTGTAATGTCCAGGTGCAATATATGGTCGTCATCTACATTTAGGTTCTACAAGTAAGACATAAAAGTAGAAATTTACTGAAACTATGAAACTTCTGATTGATTGGCACTTTCGTAAATTGTCTACTAAATCATGAAATTGAGCTGTACTATGCTGTATGCTAGA